TGATCTTGATTCTGCATTGGTCTTGATCGCTTAAACGATCCTAAATCGCTTAAGTGACCAAGGCTAAAAGTGAACAATTGCTTAAGCGATACATAAATTGCTTAAGCAATCGTGCATCTGGGATGATCTCGATTCTGCCTTGCACTTGATCGCTTAAGCGACAAAGGGTAAAAGTGAAGAATCGCTTAAGCAATACATAAATCGCTTAAGTAATCGTGCATCTGAGATGATCTTGATTCTGCCTTGCACTTAATCACTTAAGCGACTAAGGCTAAAAGTGAAGAATCGCTTAAGTGATCTTGATTCCGCCTTGGACTTGATTACTTAAGCGATCTTAGATCACTTAAGCGACCAAGGGTAAAAGTGAAGAATCGCTTGAGCAAGACCTTAAATCACTTATGTGATCGTGCACCTGGGGTGACTTGATTTTGCCTTGGACTTGATCACTTAAGCGATCATGCATCGCTTAAGGACTAAGGGTAAAAGTGAAGATTCGCTTAAGTGATATTGATTCTGGCTTGTACGTGATCGCTTAAGCGACTAGGCTAAATAGACTGGATCACTTAAGTGAGACCTTAAATCGCTTAAGCGATCCAGTATATTCGAATGATCTTTATTATGCCTTTCACAAGATCGCTTAAGCGATTTATTTTATCGCTTAAGCAATGAAGCCTTATAAACACTGGATTAACGTTAATGTTAACGTACATCGGTTATTAACACATATATTAAGAGGGATTATTTGCAACCTAATTCCATCAACACATATTAAGGCCATGTAAGAAGATTATTTACAACCGCATGATATATGGATGAATGTCATAGCACACTAGTGTGACACGTTAGTAGAAACATACGTCATTTCACAAATATGGATGATGTATTTGAAAATGATTATTGTGCTCTTTTTATTGACCAAAATGTAGTCAAATCTTGTACGATGTGGGGGGAATAGATTGAAATAAGCTTGAATTTTAATTGTACGATTAGTTCAATGGACTATGATCTGTCTTGTGTCAATTGATTTGATTATTAATATCACTTAATTGATTTTTTTAAATTATATTTTAATTAAACTAATTTTTTTTTAAATTATATTTTAATTAAACTAATTTTTTTACATGTGTAGATAAACATGGAAAAGAAATATTAAAATAATACAAATTTTAATGTTTTTAAAGTACCAAAGTAAATTACCTTTGATCGCTTAAGCGATGTATGATTTCGCTTAAACGATCTTGTATATTTAGCCTTAGTTGCTTAAGTGATGTATATTATCGCTTAAACGATCTTGCCAAAGGCAGAATAAAGATCATCCGAATATACTAGATCGCTTAAGTGATTTCAGGTCTCGCTTAAGCGATCCAATATATTTAGCCATAGTCACTTAAGCGATCACGTACAAGCCAGAATCAAGATCACTTAAGCGATTCTTCACTTTTACCCTTGGTCACTCAAGCGATGCATGATCGCTTAAGCGATCAAGTCTAAGGCAGAATCAAGTCACCCTAGGTGCACGATCGCTTAAGCGAAACGATTTAAGGTTTTGCTTAAGCGATTCTTTACTTTTACCCTTGGTTGCTTAAGCGATCTGTTGCCATATATTAGAATTATAGCAGATCGCTTAAGCGATCTAGTATGTGACAGAATAAATTTTTTCACTCATTTGAACTTGCATTACATCAAACACAACCTAACAACCAAAACAACTAAATCAAAATCATAACCCAAACCCAACCCATCATTAAATCTTTGTAAATCGAAATTTAAAATGCAAAAAAGAGATACACATACCTGGACGAAATGTCAGGAGGAGGAAGAGGTAGATCTTTGGCAGAGAAGATGTTAATGGCGGAGGAAGAAGAAGATGTAGACTTAGAAGAAGATTGAGAGGAAGAAGAAGATGTAGATGAAGCTTAGAAGAAACAACAACCAGGGGAGGTGTGTTAATGGCGGGAGGAAGAAGAAGAAGGTGTAAAAGATTACTCAATACTTTATTAATCCTAATTAACCACTAATCATGTTTAATTAACCTTAATCAATAGTAAAACTATTTACTTAACACTTTAAAACTACATGACCTTTTAAGTAAATTTGAACTTGATTTGGTCTTTTAATAAAATGCCCCCTGTTTTCGGTTGCCACTTGATTTGTTTATAAAATATGTGGGGTTCAAACAGTAGCCATTCTAGAAAGGGTTTATTGGAAAATGACACTTTCCAAACTTTGTTATAAAATTGCTTAATATTTACAGTGAAATATGAGTAGTTGAGTTTTTTTGGTTTATAAAAATTATACAACAAAGCTACGGACACCGAAAAATTTACACCGAAAATGTGTACTGACCTATGTGTACCAGGCGCCTGATTTTTTTATCAATTTTTTTCTAGTGAACAGCCGTCCATCAAATTTGGATGACTGTTCACTCACATGGACTCCTGTCCATATTATATGGACGGGGGTCTATATACCAGGGACGGGCGTCCCCATTTAAAGGACGCCCTGCCATAAGTAAAATGGAATAATTTTTTTTTTATAAAAATTAGGGACGGCCGTCCCTTCATTTTGGACGGGCTCCCGCAAATAAGGGACGTCCGTCCTTAACCAAAATATGAAAATAAAAAAAAAAAATTTTGGGGACGGCCGTCCCTTAAGTTTGGACGGGCGTCCATTCCCATCCATACCTTTAAAAAAAAAAAAAAAAAAAAAAAAAAAAAAAAAAAAGAAGAGAAGCTATTAATGGATCAAAGAAGAAGCTACTTTGTCTAGCTTCTCAAAAGAATCTGCACGTCGTGGAACCCATCCCCTGATCGCCTCTCCAGCCACTGTGGTCAACCAGGCCGGCCACCTTGCTGCCACTTGCTCACCTTCTGTAGCTTTGGGAATATTACCCATCCTGGATGTGTTGAGCAACAACATATTCCATTTTCTCCCTCTTCCGAACGAAATTCTCACCATGCAACCAAATAGACCGATGCACCTGCTTATCAATCAACATTTTTCTCCCATCATTACTATCAATCGATCTTTCACCCGATATGCGTCCTCTCTCTAAATGTGCAGTCTCCCCGACTCTGGTAAAAATATCACTGATTTTGGTAGGATATTAATCTCTTAAAATTTTGGGCCGTGCTTGTAGAAGATTAATATGCATGACATGCAAAAAATGTCATTTTTAAGATAAGACTGCAGTTTCATAAAAATGATGCAAGAATAACCAGGCTAAATTATTGTGTTTATTAATATGCTCTTTCACTCTTCAGTTTTATGTGGCGGAAGTTCTTCTTTGCTTGGAGTATTTGCACATGCTTGGGATTATTTACAGAGACCTTAAGCCAGAGAATGTCTTGTTGAGGGAAGATGGGCATATAATGCATTCTGATTTTGACCTCTCTCTAATGTGTGCAGTCTCCCCGACTCTGGTGAAGTCCTCAAACTCCACCTTGGAGTCAAAGAATTCAGCATACTGTGTTCAATGCAGCAGGTGGGTTCAGAAATATTTTGAGGGAAGAAATCAATGGAGTAGAGAGAAGAAGATGGTAGTTGTTTAACCCTGCTCGCCTCCTCCTTTTAAATTATCTGATATTAGAGCGGCTATTCCTAAGCATTGTTGGGTTAAAAATCCATGGAGATCAATGAGCTATGTGTGAGAGATATTGCTGTGGTTTTTGGCTTGGCGAAGAAGAAGAGACGAAGAATGTGTTTTTTTTTTTTTTTTTTTTTTTTTTTTTTTTTTTTTTTTTTTTTTTTAAAGTATGGACGGGCGTCCATTCCTAATGGATGCTCGTCCAAACGTAAGGGATGGCCGTCCCCAAATTTTTTTTTTTTTTTATTTTCATATTTTGGTTAAGGATAGGCGTCTCTTATTTGCAGGCGCCCGTCCAAAATGAAGGGATGGCTGTCCATAACGGATGAACGGTCGTCCCTAATTTTTATAAAAAAAATTTTATTCCATTTTACTTATGGACGGACATCCTTTAAATAGGGACGCCTGTCCCTGGTATATGGACCCCCGTCCATATTATATGGATGGGAGTCCATGTGAGTGAACGGCCATCCAAATTTGATGGACAGCCGTTCACTAGAAAAAAATTGATAAAAAAATCAGGCGCCTGGTACATGTAGGCCGATACACATTTTCGGTGCAAATTTTTCAGTGTTCGTAACTTTGTTGAAAATTATAAGTGCGGTTTTGGGATAAAAAGCAGTCTATACAAGGAGTGTTCTCTTTCAAAATATCATAATAAAAAAAATTATATTATGTTCCTGAATATAAAATTTTGGGTTCCAATGGTCTAATTTTATAATAAATTAAAAAAAAATAAAATTGAAAAGTTATCAATGTAATAAAAATCTATATCATCAAATTTTTTTTTTTTTTTTTTTTTTGACATATTATCTCACTGTCTAAAATATCCTAGACTTCATTTCTAAAAACTCAATTACATATTACCAAGTGCTATAAAAATCCTCGATTTTAAATTTAATTCTAAAAATCAATTACATATTTTCTTCCAGTTGTGCATTCTGCAACCAGAGATATTGGAAGAATCCATCATTCTTTCATTAGCGGCTTCAAATGATAGTTGTCTTTAAAATTTTCATTACTGAAATAGTAATAGATTTGTTTCACAATTCAATTTCCTTCAATATCTCATTAACACAATTAATTATATAAAATAGTTAGATGTATAATCATTATCAATTTTTAAATGTAATTAAACAACAATACAAAAGAAAAATATGCTACTTTTTTCAAATATTTATAATCAAATTTCACCGTGAGTTTTTTAACATGCATAACCAATGCAATGTCAAAAGTAAAAATTATGTGCCAACTATCAATTAGATGATTAATTAAAATCATGGTTAGAGCATGACAAATTATATCCACATTAACACATCAAACTATAAACCTTGCATTTAAAAATAGAGACTTGAAACTGTTAGAAACCTTTAACATGAAATTAGAACCATTAATAATAGTTGAAACTAAAGATAACGTAAATGAACTATAAAATATGATTTTATCCTCCACTCTACATAATTGTGAAGTTATTGATCTAATATACTGCAATGGCAAACTCAAATTCCAGAAGGCAATTCTAATTAACTAGGAAGACTCTTGGTTTATGCACAGAAGCAATTCATATAATACATTTCGTCTCAATTCAGATTCATTCATGAATCATTGTATTGAATTATCTTCATCATATAAAACATTTTGAAGATGAGAAGCCAAATGGGAATACTCACCATAACATATGCTTGCCAGATATCCTCCATAAAATAAACAATGAACACCAAGCAGAAAGATATTCACCCTTTCTTCATTCGTATACCGCTCTGATTTCTGTCTGGAAATAATTTCCGCTGTCCAGCAACTTTTGTTTGAATGAGTGCAAAAATCCGATACATTAGTAGATTTATCAATCCAGCTGAAATTAATGGGATCTTTAATTACTTGTAAGTGCAGGCACCCATGTATTAGGGAACTCCAAACCTTACCAGTCAAATTTGAGATACAATCAAGAAGCTCATTGGATATGTTCTTAAGACCAGCACTTTGAGCTTGACGTATAAATGAATCCACTTCAAGCCTATCAATCAATGAGCAATTACAGCATTTAGATTTCTGAAGGGAAAATTTTGAAGCGGATAACCCTGATTTCACAATCAAATTCCATGCTGAGCTTCTAGCAAGTGTTAATAGGGACTCCCCTGCATTTGCCCAGAAATTTGCAGCAGATGCAATCAGAGAGGATTCGGATCGAAACAGATGGTCAGTAGCACCAGCAAGCAATAACGAGTATGCTACACTAGATCTGCTCATGTTGAAAGCTTCCCAGTGATGTCCATCAGTGTCAGAACAGAGAGTTAATAAGTCAATTGACCAGACTTTATATGCAGAGGCTAGTGTGGTATATGCATTCAGAGATAGATGGTTCAGGGGATGCAACCTGAAATTCAGCTGTGATTTTCCAGCCTTGCTTTCCAACTTCTCAACCTGCAGACCTTGGGTAAGCAAGTTCTCAAGCTTCTTGCAGCAAGATTCAGGATCGTCAGCCGATAAATACTCGGTTACAGCTTCATCCATGTAATCATTCAATTTTTTATCTGCCTCATCCATAAGTAAGTTGTCATCCGAACTCAAGTTCATAAACTCCATATTAGAAACAGAAATTTCCTGAGAAAAAGCTCTTCGAATTAATCACTTCTCAAAATGCTTTGTAAATAAATTTGAGGCAACTCCATATCTCAAATAAAAGGGACACTGCAAAGTCACTTTCCCCCATTTCTTTTCTCTAATTCGAATGACGTTTAGAGAGCTGAAATAAAAGGCTGAATTTATGAGACTTGATCTAAAACAAGTACTTGTTAAGCTTTTACCTCCAAAAGCTGATCTACATAAGTTGGGAGTGATGCAGTGCATCGCCTACAACAACAGACAAACTGGTACTTCGACCACAGCTCTGCCTGCCTCATTTCCTACACAAACAATTGGTTTAAACAAAATATGAATTAATAAAAAGAAAGAAGTTATATGCTAAAAAAGGATGCCAAATACCCAACAAGTTAAAAATGAATTATAGACGTTGCAAACTAGTAACAGTTTAACATAAAAATGAAACATACAGAAATGAAACAAGGCAACTTATTATCGAATACACAATATTGGAGAAGCATATAATCAGTAAAACACAATCCATGGAGAGCATAAGAAGCCTTCCATTTGATCTATGGCAAAAAAGTGAACCCACCAAATTTATCCTTCCCTCTCATTTCGCAAGCAGATTACTTTACAACCCTATTGGGATACTAGCACAGTAGGAAGTTTATTTGGTTCGACATTGCCATTTCAAGTATATCTTTCATAACGTGATGATGATAAAATTAAGCAACAGTTTTATCATTAGAAACACTAATTGCACCCGGCACTTGTTAATGACTTCGACATTGCAACATCTAACAAAGTTAACGTTACAAACAACATTATATACACAAGTTATCCTACACAATCAACAACAATGTGATGAAACTTGAATATACCTTGGGTTGCAATAAATCAGTGTAAGCAACAGTCACCTCCTCGCCTTTCTTTATCCGCTTTATACTCCGAACGACAATTCTTGGACCATCATCTGTCTCACAACCTTCAACAACAGATATTACAGCAAAAAGGAGCGTCAGACATTAATCAAATTCTAATCAAATAAGTCCCAAAATCTTATAACATAAACAATTAACAACCTTGTGCTAGTTCACTAGAGCTACAGACATCAATCTTTCCCTGCACCCAACATCAATTCAATAACCCCTCAACTCTTCATTAAAAAACAAAAAACAAAAAAAAAAAAAAATATCATATTTTTAAGATTACATGGACCTTACATGAGGAACAATTCGCATCTTTGGCTGGTAATGAAACGCCGGCGTGTTGTTTGTCTCGGAAAGCAAGAACCTGTAACAAGCATTTGGAGAGCAACTATGATTGATCCAAGAGAATTCCTTATCGTACACGGCAATTCCTAAACTGCGCCCACTCTTATCCCGGACGTCAACGGCATTCGTCATCACCAAACACAACACAGCCTCCTCCAAAACGACATCGTCCGAGAAGTTTCCTCTCGCCTTCGCTAACTCCCTCGCTCCGTCACGAATCTTTAACAAAACATCCGGCTCTTCCGAAGACAACAATTTATCGCGGTTGGTCAACAAGCCGAAGAGACGAGGTTGAGGACACGTGGAGGGAGGGGATTGGAAGAGGGAGAGGAAGCGGAAGGCGGCGCTGAGATCAGCGGAGGAGAGAAAGGAGTTGTGAAGAGAGTACGAGAGAGGAGAGAGAGGTGGAGTTAAGTCTTGGCCTTCTTCTATGTCTTCTTTTGCTACCATTTTCATCTCCATCTCAATTCCTCTCAGTTGAACTCGACCGAGGCTTTGCTCTGTTTCTGATTGCCACTTGATTGGGAGGAAATTTAACTGATATGCCTTCCAAGTGAGAAAATTTAGCTGCCATCCCAAGTTTCGATTTAAGAAAATGAACTTCAAAATGTTTTTCATTTTTTTTTTTTAATTTAGAGAAGATGATGTGACATAGTTAGCATTAATTAAACACGTAAAATAGGTTAAAATAAAAAGATTAAAACATATATAGGCCGAATCATAAATAATGAAAGCTTTTAAAATTTGAAATTTATCAAAACAAGCTCCATCTATTCACCTCGTTTAATCGAAATTCATTAGGGCAAAAAGCGATTTCTTGAACCAAAGGGAGATTGCGATTTTTTCTGATCGAGCCTACAAATTTGCACCTTAAAATCAATTTCTTGAACCCTAAACGGAATACAGTCGCGATTTTCGGCGATATAATCGTGATTTCCGATCGATTTCTTGAACCCTAAACGGAATCTGTGCGATTTCTGGCGATACAGTCCACATTTCCGATCAAAACTGCAAACTTTGACACCAAATTCAATCCAAAACCATGGCTGACACTCATAATGAGGAGGAAAACCCAACGTCACTTCGAATCCTAGATTACGGTGGCGCAAGCAGTTCAGTGGCTGCTCCGGTGGATCATCCGATCAATGAAGGTGGTCCACAAGTAGAGGAGATGATGGCGGCACAACAACAGAGAGAAGAATCGGCAAACGGTTTTGAAGATGAGGAGTCAGGCGAGAATTCAGGCTAGGAGGAGGAGTCCTGCGAGAATTCAGGCCAGAAGGAGTCGTCTGAGGATTCAGCCGACGAGGAGAAGGCCGACGAGAATGTAGGCGACGAGGAGGCCGGGGAAGAAAGGGTACGTATTTATTTTGGGAATATTGCTTGTACTGTCGCTTAAGCGATCATTTGTATCGCTTAAGCGATTAATCTCTTTTACTCACGATTGCTTAAGCGATTGATTCAGTTTACTCTTGGTCGCTTAAGCGATTTTAGATCGCTTAAGCGATCTTGCACGAGGCAGAGTCAAGATCTCTTAAGCGATCCGAAATCGCTTAAGCGACTACAGTGGTAATTTTGGTTGCTGATATTTTGTTTATTAGTTGTTTTGGTTTATTTTTGTTGCTGACATTTTGTTTATATCGATTGTGCAGATTGTGCGGACTGTAAACTGTAGCGACTACGAGTTGGAGCTTATAAGTGATAAGGTACCCTACTTCCCTGCAAGGGTGACGGTGAGGTCGAGTTGGGATGTTTTTGACAGAATAAGGGACATTTTAGCTGGAATGAGGCATGGTGCAAGAGATTTCCGTCGCACTTGTTTCGGTCAGTTTTTAAGAATCGGAACAAATTGGAAAAAGGCATTTTGGGGGCAGGGAGTGCATTACATGTTGCTGCACTTAGTAAAATGCAATAATAATAAAAAAAAGAAATGTGGTTTGTGGTGGACGGAAAGCCACTACGTTTTGGGATGATGGAGTATGCCTTGGTGATGGGCTTAGGATGCAGGAAAGTGCTAGATAAGGCAGAGGCAGACGCAATAAGGACGAGTCCGGGAGCCAAAAGGTTTCGTAAGAAGGTTTTGAAGGGGCCAAAGTCTATCATAGGACAGTTTTAGAGGAAAGGCTAAAAACAGTTCGGTTTAATGATGGAGAGAAGATAAAAGTGTGCTTGCTATTGTTTTTACATTCAATCTTATTGGCTGGTGACTCAACAAAAGCTGTTGANAATATCATATTTTTAAGATTACATGGACCTTACATGAGGAACAATCCGCATCTTTGGCTGGTAATGAAACGCCGGCGTGTTGTTTGTCTCGGAAAGCAAGAACCTGTAACAAGCATTTGGAGAGCAACTATGATTGATCCAAGAGAATTCCTTATCGTACACGGCAATTCCTAAACTGCGCCCACTCTTATCCTGGACGTCAACGGCATTCGTCATCACCAAACACAACACAGCCTCCTCTAAAACGACATCGTCCGAGAAGTTTCCTCTCGCCTTCGCCAACTCCCTCGCCCCGTCACGAATCTTTAACAAAACATCCGGCTCCTCCGAAGACAACAATTTATCGCGGTTGGTCAACAAGCCGAAGAGACGAGGTTGAGGACACGTGGAGGGAGGGGATTGGAAGAGGGAGAGGAGGCGGAAGGCGGCGCTGAGATCAGCGGAGGAGAGAATGGAGTTCTGAAGAGAGTACGAGAGAGGAGAGAGAGGTGGAGTTAAGTCTTGGCCTTCTTCTATGTCTTCTTTTGCTACCATTTTCATATCCATCTCAATTCCTCTCAGTTGAACTCGACCGAGGCTTTGCTCTGTTTCTGATTGCCACTTGATTGGGAGGAAATTTAACAGAAAATTTAGTTGCCCGGCTATCCCAAGTTTCGATTTAAGAAAATGGCCTTGAAACTGTTTTTCAATTTTTTTTTATTTAGAGAAGATGACGTGGCATAGTTAGGATTAATTAACCAAGTAAAATAGGTTAAAATGAAAAGATTAAAACAAGTTGGGCCAAATAAAAAATAATGAAAGTTTTTAAAATTTGAAATTTTTTGAAACAAGCCCCACCTATTCACCTCGCTTAATTGAAATTCATTAGGGCAAAAAACAATTGCTTAAACCAAATGGAGATGCGATTTTTTCTGATCGAACCTGCAAATTTGCACCCTAAAATCAATTTCTTGAATCCTAAACCGAATACAGTCGCGATTTTTGATCGATTTGTTGATCCCTAAAATCGATTTCTTTAACCCTAAACGGAATCTGTGCGATTTCTGCCGATACAGTCCACATTTTCGATCGAAACTGCAAACTTTGACACCAAATTCAATCCAAAACCATGGTTGACACTCACAATGAGGAGGAAAACCCAACGCCACTTCGAATCCTAGAGTCCGGTGGCGCAAGCAGTTCAATGGCTGCTCCAGTGGATCATCTGATCAGTGAAGGTGGTCCACAAGTAGAGGAGACGTCAGCGGCACAAGAACAAAGGGAAGAATCGGCAAACGGTTTTGAAGACGAGGAGTCAGGCGAGAATTCAGGCCAAGAGGAGGAGTCCGGCGAAAATTCAGGCAAGGAGGAGTCGTTCGAGGATTTAGGCGATGATGAGGAGGCCGGCGAAGAAAGGGTGCGTTGTTTGGGAATATTGCTTGTACTGTTGCTTAAGCGATCATTTGTATCGCTTAAGCGATTAATCTGTTTTACTCATGATCGCTTAAGCGATTGATTCAGTTTACTCTTGGTCGCTTAAGCGATTTCAGATTGCTTAAGCGATCTTGTCGAGGCAGAATCATAAATATAATAAGCGATCTTTTGTATCGCTTAAGAGATTCTTTCAGTTTACTCTTAGTCGCTTAAGCGATTTCAGATCGCTTAAGCGATCTTGCAAAGGCAGAGTCAAGATCTCTTAAGCGATCTGAAATCGCTTAAGCGACTACAGTGGTAATTTTTTGTTGCTGATATTTTGTTTATTAGTTGTTTTGGTTTATTTTTGTTGCTGACATTTTGTTTATATCGATTGTGCAGATTGTGCGGACCATAAACTGTAGAGACTATGAGTTGGAACCTATAAGTGAGAAGGTACCCTACTTCCCTGCAAGGGTGACGGTGAGGTCGAGCTGGGATGTTTTTGACAGAATAAGGGCCATTTTAGTTGGAATGAGGCATGGTGAAAGAGATTTCCGTCGCACTTGTTTCGGTCAGTTTTTAAGAATCAGAACAAATTGGAAAAATGCATTTTGGGGGCAAGGAGTGCATTACATGTTGCTGCACTCAGTAAAATGTAACAAAAAAAAAAAAGAAATGTGATTCGTGGTGGACAGAAAGCCACTATGATTTGGGATGATGGAGTATGCCTTGGTAACGGGCTTAGGATGTGGGGAAGTGCCAAATAAGGCGGACGCAGACGAAATAAGGATGAGTCCAAGAGCCATAAGGTTTCGTAAGAAGGTTTTGCAGGGGGCAAAGTCTATTACAGGACAGGTTTTAGAGGATAGGCTAGAAACAGTTTAGTTTAATGATGGAGAAAAGATAAAAGTGTGCTTGATATTGTTTTTACATTCTATCTTATTGGCTGGTGACTCAACAAAAGCTGTTGAGAAAGATTGGTTGTTGTTTGCAAGTGACTTGGAGTTCTTTAATTTTTATCCGTGGGGACGGATATCATTTGATCGAACCATCAAGAGCCTGAAAAAACCAGACATGGCTTTAAAGCATGCCCAATGGGGCTGGAAGGATAAACCAAGCACGTATAATTTATTTGGCTTCCCATGGGCAATCGTTATATTTTTTATAATATATGTGTTTGAATTATGATATGGACTATTTTTTTACAATGTAGGCTTGGATGTACGAGGCCATCCCTGTCTTCGCTAAGGCGGGGGGAAGGAGCAACAGTTTGGATGTGCAACAACAATTTCCTAGGATGTTACAGTGGCATGTTGGGAGGTGTAACCATTCGGATTACGACCAAATAGAGATTGAGATTCAAGCGGCTGGGGTAAGATTAAAGGATTAAGCTTTTGAATATGCAGATGCTTTAAAATATCGCTTCAATCTGATTGATTTTCTTTCTTATTGCAGGGAGTCGTCCGTCCCTTTCTCACCGCTATTGGGGATGAAGCGGAAAATGACTATGTCACATCTTTCAAAGCAGTGGAGGATGAAAGGGATGAACGGATAGATCGCTTGCTGCAGGACCTAAGAGGGGTCACGCATGTGACCGCAGTTGCAGGGCCATTGCTTGACAACGTCGTTGATGCTGAGGATTATGAAGCTTCAATGGGCGGGAGGCCCGAGGATGAGGAGGAGAAGAGGGAGGAAGAGGTTCGTATGCCTCAGCAAACCGATACAACAAGTACTGCTTTGCCAAGACATGGACGCCAGGAGAATGAGGTTATTGACCTCATAAATGGCCTGCTTGAGAGTTTTACAACAGTCGTTTATGCAAGGTTCGACAAGATGGAAGAGTGCATGAAAAGGGTGCAGGAGAAAGTGGATAAGCTGGGAGAGAAAGTTGGTATAGTGGAGGAGGAAGTTGGTACAATGGAGGAGGAAGTTGGTGGAGAATTAAAGGCGGTTGAAGTGCAAACTGGCTTGAAAAGAGAGAGCCGAAAGAGCAAGTTTGTGAAATCGCTTTACATGGTAGTGACACAGGTAAAGAAGAAGAAAATTAAGAAACAAATGGAGGAAGAACCAGAAATGGAGGAGGTTGAGGAGGTTGGTGGAGGAAGTGGGGCGGTGATAATGGAAGAGGGCAAGGTGGGAGGCGAAGGAAGCGGGGATGTAAAAATGGAGGAAGGTGGAGGAAGTGGGCAAGCGAAATTGGAATCAAATGTCGATTTGTATAGGCCAATAGAGGAAAAGAAAAAACTCTTCTATGCCTATTACAATGGATCAGGAAGTAATGGCCATATAAAGTGTAAGACAGGGGATTATCCCCGGGAATGGTTTGAGAAGTTGTTGACGATAGGCACGTGGCTTGAGGACTCAGTGAGTTATTTTCGCATAATTTTCCTTATTTCTGCCTATGTTTTCCATACTTATCTTGTTGTTTTTATTTGATGCAGTACATCGATGAGATATTGGCACTGATGAGGCTACGACATACTACTAATGGTGATCTGTTGTATCCCGATTGTGCCATCACCGATGTGGCGTTTGGCCGAACGCTTGTTTCGGCATATCACACTTTAATTAAAAATGCCGTTGCTAGTGGTGTAAGAAAAGGACCGAAGCGAAAAAGATTGGCCCCAGTACAGTTGGATTGCATCCCTGATGATTTTCATTTTGATGACAGAATTATGCAGTATATATGGGGGGATTGGCCCAAATATGGCCACGGTTGGGCTTTTGTTAAAAGAGTGTACTGCATCATTCTCGTCAAACAGATGCACTGGATAGTAGTCGTTGCGCATCTAGAGGAGGGGTTGTTGAAGATCCTTGACTGCAACCCTACTATTTGTCGAGACAAGCAGTTGGAGGTCGAGTTGAAGCCACTGTCCAGGTTGCTCCCACGGCTGTTGCGTGACAGCCGGATGTTTGGGCTCTTGGGTGATCAAGTACTAACCGAAAAGTGGCCAATTAAGCACTCTACCGGCCCAATAAATGAGTCAAGGTAAATTTTGTATAAAACTAACTTACATAATACAATTCTTCTATAAGTTTATTCTAATGCTAATGTCTTCTTCCTATTGTAGTGCTGAATGTGGGGCATATGTCCTGAAATTTATTAAGTTTGACATGACCAACACCCTGATGGACGGGTTGAATGACGAAACAATGAGAGACTGTCGGGAGGGCTGAGCTGTCGACTGCTTTCATGGGCAGATGGATCCGTTTTGAGTGAGCAGAACCCAATAAAAAGGTATGAAAGTTGGACTTTGAATTTTGTATTTTATGTGATGTTGATGTTGATACTTGGGTTGTGGTACTGATGCTGCATGTGTCATGCTTATATGGAGCTTTACCGAAAGACACGGACATAGTGAACTTCTCACCTACCTACTCTATAACTTTTTTACGTGTTTTTTTTTTATTTACAAAAGTTGACGTGTCTGCAGGTGTGTGCCAGATAATTTTGTAGGTTCCTGGCAAACAATAAGAGGAAACTTCTCAAAGGTTGGTTGGCAAGAGGAGGCATCTGCAATAAAGGCTGCTGGGAAGGCATGGTACTAAACAATGATCTCAGAGAGGTTGCTGGCAAATAGAATTCGAAAACTTCTCAAAGCTGGTTGGCAGGAGGAGGCATCTGCAATAAAAGGATTGTGCAAAGGTGTTAGTGACATTAAACTCGTTGGCATCAAAAAGTAAATTAAACACAGTATATAGAAATTCTTGTGCTGTGGCTCTTCTTGCGGCAGCCAAAAGCCTTGTGCCTGCAGAATCATTGTAAAGAATTGGATCTGACATTTGGGAGATATATTTTTTTTGTCCATATAAGTTATCTCATTAGCAGTTTGAATTTACTATGTATGGTGTGATCATTTGCTTCAACCAAGTTGGATAATGGTTTTTTAGCGTTTTGTTTCATTTTGATAAACAGGTTACATTGATGTCTCTTATATTTTGATTTGTGATGAATTAGATTGATATAAATGAGTGATGTACAAATGTTTCCCAATCACAGTCATTTCGAAATTAATTAACTTAAAGAATGGCATGATACTAAACAATTACGTATATGACCAACCACATATATCTCTTAAATGACCAAGACTTTTCCAGATATGATCGCTTAAGAGACCAAGAGTCTATTACGAAGCATCTCTTAAGCGATACATAAGATCGCTTAAGCGATTACCCATCTGGGCAGATGTTCATTCTGCCTTGGCCAACATCGCTTAAGCGACAGAGACTCGTTTAGGAAGACGCTTAAGCAATATATAAGATCACTTAAGCGATTATAGATCTGGGCAGATTCATTCTGCCTCGGACAAGATCGCTTAAGCGACCAAGAGTATTTTAAAAAATCGCTTAAGCGATACAAATGGATCGCTTAAGCGATCATAAATCTGTGCAGATTCATTCTGCCTTGGCCAAGATCGCTTAAGCGATCTCAAATCACTTAAGCGATCAAGAGTCTTTTACGAAAATCGCTTAAGTGATACAAATGGATAGCTTAAGTGATTTTCGATTCGGGCATCTGCCGCAGGCTAGATCGCTTAAGCGACCAGGAGTAAAAGCAAAGAATCGCATAAGCAATATAGACGGATCGCTTAATCGACCAGAGTAAAAGCAAAGAATTGCTTAAGCAATACAGACGGATCTCTTAATCGACTGTATAAATACAGAGGATCGCTTAAGTGATCTTATGTATTCGGATATTATTTATTGTATTTCAGAGCATCGGTTAACCGATTAACACTATGTTAAACATATAGGGTTTACGATCCGTTCAGTGGACTATGACCGTTATTATATTTATATTAAACGTATAGTTCTTTTACGTCAGTATGAAACATGTAAGGTGTAGACTGTTTACGTCTATGCTAAACATATAGGGTTTACGATTCGTTCAGTAGACTATGACCGTTATTATATTTATATTAAACATATAGTTCTTTTATGTCAGTATGAAACATATAAGGTGTAACCATGGAATCTTAGTGAACATATGTTCTTCTTTTTTTTTTAGAACATAATGGGTTCGTTTGGTTGAATATTCTTATAAATATTACAAATCCTATTCCCAAAATATTTCTTTGTTTAATTATTTAGGAAATATTAGTATTTTTTTAATAAATTTTAGACTCATTAACTGAATTAATTTCATTAATACCGTTTAAAAAAGTTTAAAAATTAACAAAAACACCCCTATCTACCCAACTTCCCAGATTCTGGCTACCACCAACGGCCACAAATGACCAAAAATGGTCGGTAATTCACAGATGTGACATTTTTTGGCCAGATCCACTGTGGATCTGGCCGGAAAAGGCCACATCTGGCCATCATTGACTTTCAAATAAATGGCCGACATTGACAGTCAACGACTGCCAAATCTTGGGCATCGTTGACCGAAACAACGGCCATATATTTGGCCATCACAGAAGGCCACATGTCAACTTTTTCGTCCGTTGACG